TAAGGAGCGAAGGGTCACTCATTTACGTGAAATACGCCGCAACAAAATTTGACACCCTATGACTACCATGTTTCCTCATAAGTCCTTAGGCCAAGCCGCATATCAGCACTTCATATGTTCTTTCAACTGAATGCAGATCAAACGGTAGGAAATGTAGTAATAAGTGACCGACAAAGACAAGGAGAAGTGGAGCGACTATTTCGGGCTTATTAGTCAGCATCAGCAAGCCATACCCAACAACAGGTGTTGCGGTACCAGAGAATCGAACCCACGACCTGTTAGACAGAAGTCAAAAAGTCTAACCGCTATGCCTCGGGCACAGTGGAAGAATAGTCAAAACACGACGACTGAAGGGGGCTATCCTGAGTCGGGAGGACAACCTTACTTGCTATGCCACACGCCCACGAGCGGGCGATAGCAGAAATAGCTACTTGCGGGATAACTTTCCTGAAGGTCGGCTGCGAAACAATAGGCTTCTGGGTCTGCCGAACAAGCAGTATCGGACCAGAGGCGATAGTGCTACCGGGACGCGGAGAACTCAGGTCTGGCAAGCAGGAAAAATACCACTGCGATAACAGCACTGTGGTAATGCATACCATAAATCGCCAGTAACTAAATCATTTTTCCTCCACTGGCTTGCGATTAGGTTCTGGAGCCAAAACACTAGAGGGAATTTCAAACAAGCCAAGCCTTACTCTACTTCCTGAAGTAACCTCGTGAAAATATTCCCGAATCAAGTATTACGTTTCCTGATACAGCGTCCGAATGTACAGAGGCACCTCACAAATCTAGTCTAGTGGTGCGGGAAAACAGAAGAGCTGAATTACCTCGTCGATGGCAGACTCTCTCTATACGATGCCGAAATACGCGATATTTCCCAGACCCCGATATCCGATGGCAAGCAGTTTTTATCATTGCAACGTGGATGTCCACCATCTATGTGGGGTCCCAGTATTCAACCCGGTTTTGGGTTCAACTTTCATTTCAATCTACCACAGCTATGAATGCGGTTCTTCCGCAAGACACGGTGGAAGTCGTTGCTTTCTCGTAAGGGGCTAAACATGGCTTATGCGTAGACTAGGTAATACCAATAGCCTAGGTAAGACTCAATTGGAACTTTCCTAACCCCTCTGCTGTGCCCGTCCACGTGACAACGTACGTTTATAACCACCACGACGTGTGCAATTTTGCCAAACAATTTAAAAGACCTCCATCCTTGTGATTTGACTATTGTCGAGTGTCAGAATGTGTGGGCTGGGCCAGACTGGCTTAAACAATCCTCTATCGGGCCACTTCGAGATTGGTTTTCAATGCACCAATGGCAAAGTAATGTTGAAATTTACTGAACACAACTGGTTAGTTGTCACGCGCTAACTTATTGTGTATACAACAATCTTATGGAAAGGCAGACTGACTATACTTTGATCGGCTAAATGCCCCGTTGCTGGACCCACGCTAATAGATCGAAGCGTGGTGCCAAGTGGAAATGTCTGTGAATCAGACCACGTTCTCGTCCGCACGACGGAGAGTTCTGCCATGCGAGATGCCTTGATATCATAAAAGCAAGACAGCCAAGCGAAGTCAAGGCTGTGAAAATATAAGTCTTGTCTCTCTTCACACTCTGTCACGGAAGGCGAGATCCAATGATCATCACAGAAGCCCTACCGCGCGAGACGGCTGAAGAACTGTGGCAGACAGCCAGTAATGCTGCCCCTTTCCATGTTCGATGTCTGGTTGGGAGATGACAGCTGCTTTTATATGATTGTAGAGC